AACATGTTCTCATCATATCCAACCTAGTGAGCTTATCATTTAAACTTTTTATAATGGATTTATGAATTCTTTAAAATAGGTTATGGATATTGTAGTTATGCCAAAACTCTTTGATAAGGCATACGCCCTTACTGAAACTCCCACAAATAATTTTCAATGACTCTCTAAACAAGTAAACCTTAGAAAGAATGATAATACTTATTAGTGACTTTATAAGAATTAATCTCGAAAATAGACAATTTAGGCTTAAATCCAAGCACACATTTAAGCTATAAAGTGAAATTATATGAACAATTATGTGAGTCTTGTTTCTCTAATGTATGGTCAATGAACTTGGTAACCAATAGGCTAAACAATCTAAGTAAAACACCTACAACCCAGACTAGAAAAATCACCTTAACGTCAATTAGAAGAATAATCAAAATATAAGGAAACAAAGTTGAACTGACAACTAACCCACCATGTGGAAAACTGGAACAATAAAATTATATAAAAAATTCAATGAACTCAGTAACCAATAAGCTAAACAATCCCAAGTAAAACACTTACAACCCAGACAAGAAAAATCACCTTAACGTCAATTAGAATAATAATCAAAATATAAGGAAACACAGCTGAACTAACAACTAACCCACCCTGTAGAAAACTAGAGCAATAAAAATAATAACATTTCAAATCCTAGATCTAGTTATCATTAGGATTTCACCTCTATAATTAACCAAAAAGAATAGAAATTATCTTTCTAAGAAGCAATGTTGCAGGTAAAAACTCAATTACTAAGTCAAGTTATAAAGATACGAAAAATTGAAATCAACTATGATTGTTGACTAATTTATTGAATAATAAGCCAGAAGGGCCTTTACCTAACAACACCGAAGTAAAACACAAATAGCAAAGAAAAATGAATATTGTGAAATAATATACTGAGAAGTGAAAAAGTATAAAGAGTTGTGATTGGAGAAGAGGTGAGAGTAGAATAATAACAATATGAAGAATAACAAAAGCTCTCAATATCCAAACTCAATCTATTTCATAAAAATTTTGCAAAATAATTGATATTTGAGTTTATTTTTCTATCATGTAACCACTTGAGAAAAAGATGAGATATTAAAAAGCATTGGATAACTGTTAGGAAGTTTTAGAATAGATAATTATGTGGGAGGTTGGAGCATAGGATAGTAATCCGTGTGGCAGTCTATAAAATAATCACACTGTTGCTGTCAGAATGTCGCCGCTGTCGCCAATTCTCCGATCCTTTCGTTTGCTGATGTCGGTGTTGAGGAGTCGCCGATTTGTTTATCGTTATGCTGCTTGCCTCCCTGAATTCTTCCAACTCATTCCATGTTGATGGATATAATCTCGATTTTCCATGAAATCGTATGGAGTTTGTTTCTAAAGCTTCATCTAGCCAAGGAGATCACATTCATATGGTTAATTGAATATAAAATGAACATTTGTTTTACAAAAGACCAAACCCGAGGTAAAATTTAGGGTTTTCGATACATACCTTATCCCAAGAGGTGTGGCCTCGATTGGGCTTGACAGACACGATCGCTTTAACTCTACGCTGCTCCTCCTTAGCTCAATTTGATTTGAGATCAGGCCTAGGTATGAACTAGGTGAAATGGTGGCTCGGTTTGGTCTTGTGGTAGGTTAGAGGACTCGGGATGTCTCAATTTTGAATGGAGAAGTGTCGTGGGGATCTTGGGAAGCTTTTAGGATATTTAGATCCAAGGTTTGATGAAGTTCATGTCAAACTCAAAAATTGCCTGATTTTGGTTAGAGAAATTAGTGTTTGTGGGTGTATATAGTGAGTTAAGGACAGAGGGATTATGTTGCCTAGGTTCTAAGGAGTGTTTCTTATGTTGAATGGCAGAGGATTTGGGTGATGGTTAGGGAGCTCTCCTTCCTTGAAGCTCTTGGGTTTGTCATTTAATGGCTATGGAGAGCTTGAAATCCTACCAAGATTGGCCTTGGGAGGTTGTTATGACTCCTCAGAGAGTTTGCAGAAGCATGAGGAGTCATAGTGGGAATTCCCTCTTTTGGATGTTTTGGCCAAGGTGACTCCAACGGAGGAAGAGAGGAAAATTCATAGCTTTGGGGCATTGGGGAAAAGCGAAGGTGTGGTGGTTGGGCTTGGCAGAGGTTCTCCTTAACCCAAGCATGAAGAGACTTGGGTTACTTGGACTAGGGTGCCAAGTATGAGGAAGGGTAGGTTGGCATAACTTCATTTGTCTCCTTTCCCTTATTTTAGTTTGTTTTTTGGTCTCATGTGAATATGAGCCATTTAATGGCCTGATGGGTTGGTCTAGGTCATGGGTGACCCATTTAAGGTTGGGCCATGGGCTATGGGCTTGAATTTAAGACTTGGACTATGGGCTTGGATTTAAAATCTAACGCTAATTTAAAGCCCAATGGATATTTAAAACTTCCTTTTTTCATTAATTAATTTAATTAATTAATAATAAAAAATTGACCATGTGGCTAAAACGTTGACCACATAATGATAGGTTGACCAAAACGATCATGATGACCATATAAGGGTAAAAGCTGATCATAGGGTCAAAGATTGGTCATATGGTGTAGGGTTGGACATGTTGACCAGTGGGATGACCAAAATGGTCAAGTTGATCATATGACCCATTGTTGACCATATGGTGTTTGGGTTGACCACAGCATCAATTGATTGGTCATATGGTTTAGTGTTGACCATGTTGACCAATGGGTTGACTAGGTTGGTCAAGTTGATCAAATGGTCATATGTTGACAATATGGTGGTCAAATTAGAATTAGGTTTGATTGAATTGACCATCCTAAAGTTATATCTTTTTTAAGGTTCAAAAGGACAAATTAGGATTTTGGTCTGAATTTAGGATTTGGTAGGGTTTGGGAAGCTAATGGTGAAACCAGGAGTCAATTTGGATAGGCCCCCTTCTCCTAGGGTGAATTTGATGGTCATAGTAGACTCTAGGGTTTCCAAGTTGATTTAAGTGGTTTAGGGTATGTCTTACCCCTGATAGTTAATTTAGGTAGTTACCTAGCCAAAACCCTAAACCCATTCAGCGAAAGGGTTGGGGCTTGAGCTTGCAATGGTGAGATTCAATTTTAACCCTAGTTTAGGGTTCTGTCTAGATGAGTGAAATGAATCCTCACAAAAGTGAGATCAACCCACACGCAAGACAGAAAATATTAGATGATCAGGTGATTGGTGGATGAATTGATTATTCAAAGTAGAATCTTAGTATAAAGATGCAATAGTGATGCAAAGAATATTAGCAATGTGGTCGATACTCTGTATAACAAGTAGTAACGTAGCACCTATTGAGTGGTCAGAGTAAGCTGCAACAATCACATAATTAGAACAAAAAGATAAAATCTTTTAGAGTTCGAGGGAATTTTATGGCAGCCTTGTTCCAACCATGACAAGAAGAAAACCAAACAATGATCTTCAAGCCATTCATAAATTTTCCTCCATCTAACAGACAAGTTAAAAAATAACTGATATTTTATGATACAAGATTGATCTATGAGTGGTTGTAGTATTTGCCCATTATGAATCACACTCTGAATCTGATTGAAGAAGGTTCACAAGCCAACCAAACCATTCCTATTATTGGACATGTGGACTGCTTTGATGAGATGCATAGAATGGTTTTACAGCAACAAAAGAAATCATCCATAAATACATCAAACTTAGTGGATAAAAAAATAACATGCATGATTACAGGTTGAAATCGAAAAAGTAATTGAAATATTGAGGTCAGATTGTATGAGAAAAAGATAGTGAATCAGATTACCTGAAACTTTAGGTATTCAATCAAAAACATAAACCCAACAATCTGAGTTCCTGTTAGCCTGAATATTAAATTTTACTTTGGTCCAACAAGCTTGGCATAGTCAAATGGAGCTTAGCCTCAACTAACCTTTTCAAAATAAGAGAACTAAACCAACATTTACCACTTTAAGATAAGGCGAAGGATCAAATGCAAGAGCTCATTTAACAATGACATGCCATAATAACCTTTGAAAATTCTGTCAAAAAATGTATTCATGAAAAGGTTTGAGATTATTCATGTTTCCATTTCAAACAATAAAAGTGGATAAGAAAAAAGTTGGAACATAAAGGTAAAGGAAGAACTAACTAAAAACAAATTTTCAGGAAAAATGTATTTCCAGTTAATCAAGGAGCAATATAATCAACATTGGGTATAAACCAAGAAAATAATCATAGGAATTGATTCAATTTGTGCGTCAGTTCAAAGAAGGACAACCAACAACCATAGCATGATATTTAACAATTAATATGAGAAATTGTTTGCTACATTTTTATGAAAGTGGTATCCATTAACTGATTTTATAGTACAAGAATCCTCTTAATGAAACCACTCTGATTTAAAGGAAAAAATAATGATAAAACCACTTTGATTTAGTGGAAGAAATAATCATAACCATTCAAAATGAATTTGATGACTAAGATTGAAGAACATTACCCGAATCCAATTTTATAAATGCAAAACACTTATTGACACATTTTTAATGTAGACACTACTAAACATGGTAGAGAAAAATATTCATCAGAAAACCAAATGTCAAGAATCTATGCCCAAATAAAAAGGACAATCATTCATCACCTAACAAGTTTCAAAAATAAATCATCTCTATAAATATTAGTAAGAGAAATTTTTTTTTTCACCACATCAATAACCATCTTGCCATAATCAGTAAAAGAATTCACTTTTCTAAAGAGGTTGCAAAGGGTAAAAAACAAAAAATGGAAGGATATAGCAAAAATACCATTGGTTCCGCAACAGAGGAATTAGACAATCAACCATCATAACAGCAATGAAAACTAGAACTGATTACTCATGCCACAAATCCATGGGCAAAACCTATGTGCCAGCCCTTAAGTGGATCCAAAAACCATAACTTCATTTTGATTGAGTGGAGTTCAAATGTCCCAAATCAAAATTACAAAAAGAATAAAAAAGATTTTTACTCACCTTCCCGTCATACTCTCGGCGAGAAAAAAGCTCCGGTGCAATGTATGCTGGTGTGCCAACAGTTGACTTCGGCCTCGAGTGATGCAGCAACGACTGCTCAAAGAAAATATTGGTCAAATTTAGGAAAAGTTGATATCAAATTGATGAAAATTCCAGTAAAGAAATCTAAAAATTAGAATAAAAATTAAACCTTAGAGTAGCCAAAGTCGCAGATTTTGAGCCGCGGTGCAGGTTTTCCATCCAGAAGAGTGTTCTCCAACTTTAGATCACGGTGGCATATTTGCTACGAAAAACCAACTAACATTGTTATCAAATTAAAAAATTATAACAAAAAATCAGCCTTTTAAGTGGACAATTTACCATGAAGTGGCAATAGCTGACGCCAGATATGAGTTGTTGGAAAAAATATCTAGCCTGCATAGTTATATAGAAATAATGAACGAATCAACATCATTACTAATTCTATCCATATGATTTCGCATCAATTTTACAATAACATTATTCTTCGCAAAGGGTTGTGAACATCTTCTATTCATGTTTTCTTAGATATATCATTTTCTTTTCATTTTTAATTTTTTTTTAACCATAATCTACTTATGTCTTCATTTTGTGGTGCTTCTAAAGTGAATAAATAGATAGACAAAACTTGGAGGTAGGAGCTTTTCTTTGGGGAATTTAAATAGTGCAGAAAGTACTTCATCTTCGCTGAATCTTCCAGCACTGCAGATCCTCTCGAAGAGCTCGCCGCCGGCAGCATACTCCATTATTATCACAAGGTGCGTGGGTGTCAGCGCAACCTACCAAACAACAAAAATCTACACAATTTTAGAAGACGTAGAGACACTGGAGCACCACCCAACAAAAACCATAGGCCAGTTTGGATGCCGAGAATGTTGGTGTGAGGAAATGGAAAACAATTGTTGAAAAGCTGAAATCAATGGCTGCCGATTTAATAATCAATCAACAAATTGTTGGAATTTCATTTAATTTCCTTCCCTTTCCTCCAATCCAAACAAAGAAGACGTAAATTAGCCGCTGAAATATGGATTCTACCTCCTTGAAACGGATGATGTTGGGATGCCGGAGAGAGCGGTGGTTGATGATCTCCCTTGCCACATTCTCGTCAATCTTGGACAGAACATAGAAGAATAAAAAGTTCGCATTAGACTCCTACATTGAAGAAAAAAAAATAAATTAAGGTTTCATTTTCGCATCCTTACCTTCTTGCCTCTTGGGATATACTTCATAGCGACAAGCTCCTTTGTCTCTTTGTTCCGCATCAGCCTCGCCACTCCGAAGTTACCAAACCCAAGGTCCTTCACCAACTCGTACTTCTCCATATCCTCTCTCTCTATTTTGACTCAGCCTGGGAATTCTTCGATCGAGGGTTATACACCGTTTCTACTTGGCATGGGCGGTTTGAGGGTTAATAGCAGCAAGGAGCAAGCTTTCGGGAAGTTTAACGTTAATGAGCAGACCAATTGTCGAATCGAACTGAAAAGATATAAGAATACGGATTCATGATTAGAAGGAGAAAGATTGATTCCTAGGTGAAGAACACTAGAGAGAGAGAGAGAGAGATCAGATCAAAGGTGGATTCGCACAAGGTGGATTCGCACCTGTAATATAATTCCAATTCAACTGGAATGCAGAATTACAAGAACCGACTTCGGAGGTCGAAGATTGCAGACGGAATGAACTAGAAAAGCAAAGGAAAAGGCAAATGAGAGGAAAATAGTAGAGAGATGGAGACTTTTGGGCCGTATTTGGCACAAAAATATTGAGGTTTTTACCTTAGAAACAGTTAAAACATGTCTGTTTACCTATCTAATATCTAACATTTGCTATTTACAAAACAACCACCCTAAAACTAACTTCTCAATCTTTTTATCACTCCGTCTCTTCCCCCATTTGCCGTGTTCCCCTTCGTCTCGTCCCGTGCTTATCCCGCCTGTTCGAGCTCTTCTACTTCCCGATCCCTTTCCTTCCCGAGTTAAAGACAACGACGGCAACACAGCTTCGGCCAACGCCAGTTACGTTCACCTCGCCCTTTATTCTTCGAATGTAATCAGTGTGCCTTGTGGGTTCTTGACTTCCTTTTCTAGCTTGTATAGGTGTAGGCGACGAGCTTTTTCATATGGATGCCTCATATGCATATTTTTTACTTGGCATTAGGTTGGTTTACTCCTGTCTTAGTTTGTAAGCTGTGACAATGTATCATGAATGTATGTAAAGCCTTAACAGTGCAAAAAAACAAAAACAAAAAATTTAATTGATCGGATATGATGAATTTTGATGGTTGTGTGGTTTTGTACCTGTCGACTGTAATAGATGGAAGAATGCAAGATACTGCTTCTACGAGTACCAGTAGTTTGCTGAGAGGAAAATAATTATTTGTTTTATTTGATGTTTGTGTAATTTGATGTTTGAAGTTTGAACTGGAAATATCACAAAATAGATTGGACATTTACATATATAACACCCAATTCCTATATACTTACAAATCTAAAACCTAAACCAACCTTCTTACATTTATAAACACAGTTGTCTATTTCTCAAGCGTTATGTGCTACCTGACTGAAACTTTTCTATACTTTGTTGCTGATTAAATATGATCCTCCTGGCTAAAATTTGGTAGCATTGCATAAATTGGGGATTTTATAATAAGTGATCTCTAATGGATAGTAATCTGAAGCGGCAAAAATCAAACTTTATTCTCACTCCTTGAAAGCAATTTGGATAAGTTCATATCCTTTTTAATGAAATTTGTGGTGGCTAGTCATAACCTTATTATAGTTTTGTTGCAAAAGATGATTTCATGTCAAGGTTCAAGCTTGAGAGGTATTGGACTACGTAAAACTTATTGTTACTGTGATCAACAATGTGTGGTGTTCGCCAGCCATAAAAGACTGTCGTGGAAGAAGATTTTACAGATGTCCAGGAAATCTTTCAATGCGTGACTGTAAATATTTTATACGGGTAGATGAAATTGATGTTGAAGAGTTTGATCGAGAAGATTTTGAAAGGGAATCGACCGAGGTGATGAAGAACGGAAATTATGAGGTTTTAAAGTTCCTTTTGAAAATTATAGCTGCATTGTTGTTTGTTTTCATTGGTATCCTTTTGGTGTATTAAAAAGTACAAACGATGTAATTTAAAGTGTATCAGAAATGTGTTATGTTTTTGTTCAGGGTTGTATCTCTTTGTTTGTCTGTATGACAAAAAATTTGAACTCCTTTAGTAGAACTATGTTGTAAGTTTTTTGTTGTATTTATGTGGTCCTAAGTATATAATTGTTCTAGTAACTTGAGTGTTCATAATGTTTATATCAGAAATGAATATTTTGTAAGTGACTGATGTAAATGAATATTTTTTTAAGCATGTAAGTGACTGATGTAAATGAATGTAAGTGACTGATGTAAATGAATATTTTTTTAAGCATGTGAATTATGTTCGCTATAGTTTAATAGTATATTCAGAAGCTTTGGCGATGTGGTTTATGAGGTCTGATGTATATGCATTTGGTTAATAATTGGTTAAAATTTATTTTGGTTTATGAGGTCCGATGTACCTCTTATGTTTGACAGAGCTTGAATGCCTTGATTTACCTTATGTCTTAAGCTTAGTCCATCCATATTATGATCAACAACAACAACAAAAACAACAACAACAAAGCCTTAATCCCACTACGTGGGGTCGGCTACATATATCTTTTTCCTCCATTGCGTCTTATTTAGTGTCATGTTTTCATTTAGTTCTAATAAACTAAGATCATGTTTTTATACAATAAGCCCAAGACTTCCTAGGTCTACCTCTTCCTTTCATAACATAAGTCGAATTTGAAACATCTACTCTCCAAATCAGATCATCAGATGTTCGACGCTTAATGTGACCAAACCATCTAAGACGACTTTCTCTATTTTGGTCCGTCACATGAGCTACACCAACCCTATCACAGATATATTTATTTCGCATTTTGTCTCTAAGTGTAAAGCCACTCATCCACCTAATCATTCTCATCTCGGCAACATTTAACTTAGTATTATGCTTCTCTTTAAAAGGCCAACATTCAACGCTATAGAGCATTGCAGGTCTCACCGCCGTCTTATAAAACTTTCCTTTTAGTCTAAGCGGTAGTTTTCTGTCGCACAAAAGGCCTGAAGCATTCTTTAACCAACCAACTTGAATTCTACTTTTAACATCCCCATCAATATCACCATCGCTAATATCACCATCGCTTTGAACATCGCTTTGAACAACAGACCCGAGATATCTAAATCGTTCACACCTTTTAATAATTTATCACCCAATGTTACACTTCTATCACTAGAGCTACTACTACTAAAATTACATTCCATGTATTTAGTTTTAGTTCTACTCAAATAAAGGACTTTAGACTCCAATGTAGACCTCCATAATTCAAGTTTCTGGGCTTTTTGTCTTGTCTTATCCACGAGCAGGATACCATCAGCAAAAAGCATACACTAAGTTAAATCCTCCTATAAATGTCCAATAAGGCCATCCATAACTAAAGAAAAAAAGATATGGGTTTAAAGCCAATCCCAGATGTAATCCAACAGAAATAGGAAAATATTTGGTCAATCCTCCTTCAGTTCGAACACAACTAATAGCTCTAGTATACATTAGCTCTAGTATACATATCAAGGACTTGAATATAAGTCATATCAACACATTTCTTCTCAAGAACTCTCCAAAGGATATCTCTTGGAACCTTATCGTAAGATTTTTCTAAATCAATAAAAATCAAATGTAGATTCTCCTAATAAATGTAGAGCTTCCATGGTAGACCTGCCCGACATAAATCCAAATTGATCATGAGAAATCTTTGTAGTACGTCTTAACCTATGTTGAATTACTCTCTCCTATAATTTTAAAGTATAACACATCAACTTAATTTCTCTATAATTTACACACTCTTATGCATCCCTTTTATTCTTAAAAACGGGGGCCAAAATACTCTTCCTCCACTCCTCAGACATCTTTTTAGTTTTAAAATAGTATTAAAGAGTTTAGTAAACCAAGAAACTCCCAAATCTCTTAAATATTTCCATACTTCAATTGGGATATCATCAGGGCCTACAAACTTTTCACCCTTGGGTTTTTTAAAGCCCCTCAACTTCTTTTTTACCAATGCGATGGTAAAAATGAAACGTTTTTTACTATGACGATTCTAAGATCACTAAAGTCGATCATATTTTCAGAAGTTTATTAAAAAATTTATCAAAATAAGTCACCTGCCTATGTTGAATATCTTTTTCTAAGAAAAAAAAATTTTTATTTTCATCTTTAATACAATCACTTGAGTTAAATCTTTACTTTTCTTTTCTCTTTGTTTGGCTAGTTTATACATATATTTTTCACCCTCATTAGTATCTAATCTATTATAAAGATCATTAAAAGCAGAATTTTTAGCGTCACAGATTATTCTTTTAGACTCCCTATGGGCCATTTGATATTTTTTCCAGTTCTCTAAGCTTTTACATTTGAACCAATTTTTATAACATAACTTCTTATATTTTATCTTTTCTTTCACATTATTATTATTTTTATAATTATTTTTATTTATAGAAACTTTTTCTTTTGAATCTTAAAATACATATTTTGTTACTTGTTTAATAGTGCTTGTTATTTTATCTCACATAGTATTTGCTTCATCATGAACATTCAAAATTTTGAAATCTTGAGTTTTACTCATAAAATAATTTTATCTGTTTTTTAGGTTCCCCCATCTAATTTTATGATAATGAGTCATAGTATTCTTTATTTTACAACTCTTCATCTTATAATCTAGAGCTAATAAACGATATTGGGTACTTAAATCCTCACTTGGAATGACCTTACATTCTTTACAATCTTGATGATCTCTTCTTCTCATAAGAAAATAATTAATTTGTGTTTTATTAGATCCATATTTAGAAGTAGTTCATACAAATAATAAGATGTTCATCTTTATTCTTGAATGAAGTATTAGTAATAATAAGATCATACGCTAAAGCAAAATCTAAAATGGCTCCGCCTTCTTCATTAGTCACTCGAAAACCGTAGCCACCATGAATATTTTTGAAATCTTCTACCACTACCTACATGTTCATTTATATCTCCTCCAATAAAAATTCTTTCTTCAAGAGGTATTATTTGTATTAAGTCTTCTAAGTCATTCCAGAATTTATCTTTAGACCCCATATCTAAACCTACTTGAGGAGCATATGCACTTATAATATTAAAAATCATAGTATCAATGATAATCATAAGGGCTATAATTCTATCTCCAACTCTATTAATTTTTACAATATTATGTTTCAAATCTTATCTATAATTACACCACACCATTTCTAGTGCAACTCTTATCAGAATAACTAGGTTTAAAACCTAAGTTATCAATCTCCTTAGCCTTTTCTCCAACCCATTTAGTTTTTTGAATACATAAGATATTAATCATTCTATGAATCATAATATTAACCAATTCCATTAATTTACCATTGAGAGTACCTATCCATCTTATGATCAAGAGGAGAAATACAAGCAAACCTCAGCAATTTATAACTGCAAAAACAGAGAATGTGTGTTTCTTTCTGCTTTTTTTTAAGAAGTCAGGGGCTGGAAAGGGGATGTATGTTTTTAGTTAAAGTAGGGTGAGAGGGATTAGTATTTTTTTCAGTTCGTTTCTTTGAAGATGAGTTCTGCCAAAATATTCGCCATCACAATAATTTTATCTAGTCTTGTGTTCTCTAAAGAAACTGACCGGCTCAATTTTATTGAACCGAAGCATTACAATTGTTTAACTTGATGAATTTATATTATCATGATTTGTAATATTAACTATTATCACTGAAAAGTTAATATAGATGAGTCTTGACAATATGATGACCTTCCCTGGCTTAGAAAATTGTGCAGAACTCAAGCCCTTTAAGAAAATTTCCTTATAGAAGCAGTTTTTTCTGGTTTTTTGGCCTAATTTCATTTAGATCTGTTTGTCTTTTTCATCACTCACATCCTTAGCTGTGAAAGTTCTCATTTTGGTCATAACGGTTTTTATTTTATTCTTTTACTAGCTTAATGTAACAGTTGTGTGGTAGTAGAGTATCTTTGTGTTTTAGTGAAATATGGAAGCTTGCTTCACATACATACCTCTCAATTCCTATGTATTTACAAATCTGAAATCTAAACCTCAATTTTTAAATACATGCCACCTTTCTTATGCCTTTAAAGGTTTACTTTTCTTTTTAAAAGTTAATTTTCTTTGCTTTTCAAATTTGTGCATCAAAGAATTAAAGGATGTATAAAGGTTCAGTTGTACAAGTTTGGAAATAATAAATATTATCTTGCACATGACCAAACTTATAAAGCAAGTTTTCTCTCTATTAGAACAACCATTTCATCCAGGCCAAAAACATCATTTATCATTACAAGATCATTACATAAATAACCACCCTTATAAGAAGGAAAAATCATAGCAATTACCAAAAAAAAAAAAAAAAACAAAACAAAACAACAGCAGAAATGTTGCTTCCTCTCATCCTCTCTCTTGGACGAGAACCCGCATGAACTGAAATTCTTGCATCTTCAGTTATTGCTGCTGCTCTCTTGCTTTGAGTTACTGAGCCTACATGCCAGTAAAGAATTAGTTCTCAAATTAAGAGCAGAAGCGACAAGGTCAACTACAATGAAGAACTCGCTCACTTGTATATTAATCAAAACTTAGAAACAGACCCTTGAAAAAAAATCAGCAAGCAGTCTACTTATATCATTTGCATCAGCTGACCCCATCAGCTGAAGAAGACTCCATACTGCATTTGTTAGAATAAAAGAAAAACTAAACAATCTCAAACTTTAAAATATTTTAAGAAAAAGGAAGTTTAATACCTCAGCAGGAGTAATTCCATAAGGAGCTTAGGACTCCTGCGCACGAACTATAGAAAAGTCAAATATGTTTGCAGATAATTAGTTTGCTTTAATACTAATTATAGAAGGGTGGGCAGTGAAGGGTCGACATCCACAATTAAGGGTGGGCATATCAATAAAGTAACATAAAGAACAAATCTGTGCCATAAAGATCATATCTTGATAAAATCATATAGTGGAGGGTCGACATCCACAGTTAACTGACACAGCATGTTTATTACTCTTGTATGCTTGAAAGTCAAATAAATACAAACAACCAACATACAACATACATAAGCAAATTAAATTTTTCTTTTTTACATTTGAAGGGAGTAATATTTGGCACATGAAAAAACAAACCAACTTTTGAACTTCAGCTTTAGCCCAAAAATCTATCCCCATAGATGAAAAATACAAAGTTGCAACATGAAAGAGTTGGAAATAAAATAATCTGCCTAATAAATGTATTAAATTAACAAAAAAAGCTTTAATCTATGTGTGACAGCAGGTTAGCACAAAATAACTGTGATTATAGTTGTGTATAAATGAGTAGAATCAAAAGTAATAATCTAAATCTAGTAAATATGTCATCTCTCTTGAGCTACTATCTTCACCTTATTGGAAGCTTAGCCTGAGCCATCCATTCAGCACCTGCATTAGATTCAGAGTTAACGCCTTGCTCAACATTTGAAGTTTGTGAGTGTAGTGGGTTCTTGCAGGTACGCCTATCGTGACCTCGTTCTCCGCAATGACTGCATTTATGAGTAGATTTAGCTATCTTTGATGTGCTTTCAAGAAAGTGTTTAAACCTCTGTTTCAGTGGTCTAACTCGTGGCCTTAATGAATTTGGAACCCCGACCTGCACATCATCATTAACAAAATTCCATTGGTCTTTCCTCAGGAGTGTTGTTATTGCACCTTCATAAGCCATTTTTTATCAGTTAAAAAATTTTAGCTAAGTAATAGAATAAATTAATATAATTTTACATTTTAGCACATAATCACCTCCTCAGTAGGTAACACTCATCAATTTTAAGTGTTTCATACCATATGTTGTTTAGATCCAATGACTGCTACTGTATGGATTCAGGGTAAACCAGTTAACTGCCAAATTCGACAACTACATTCCATCTTTTCGTTATCAATTTCTTGTTATTCATGTGTGGCTTCAACCTCAGTCTTTGTTGATGTTAAAGGTCTAACGACGAATGACTGTTTACTTGTTGTAATGTCACAAATATACTCTTCAACATGAGGCACTAATTCTCCATTCCAGTTGTTCGACGTCTGGTCTAACCTTGTGCCTATAGATGAAGTATTTGAAATCTTAAATAGGTATTTAAATTTTAGAACTCGAGTTTAATAACAATGAAGCACTACGCACTAGGATTTTCACTCAAGTATACGTATCATTCAAGTAATATCAGATTATTCTAAATATAACCAAATATCCTACACATATTACTAATTCATGAAAAGAGAAAGGTAAAAGGATCTACTCACGGTGCATCAAGTAAACACTACAAGTCATCATCTTATAATAAATCAAATTCATTAAAAATGAGTTTACAACTAATACAAGACAATGTAAAATGAAACACTTAACTATCTCTCTGAGAAAAGAAGTGAAAACTCCTCCCCAAGTGATCTCCAAATATTCCTTGCAATGTTAATAGTATTCCTTTACAAAATTCTCTCAGATCTCGCTAAGAAAATGCAGAAAATTGTTGACCCTAGATCTGAACTCTCATTTTCTGTACCCTTAGACTTTCTCTAAGTCTTCCACACTGATCTTCTCTCTCGTTTGAACTGCTTCCCCGGCTTCTTAACTCCCAAATTCGTGCATAATCAACTATAGAAACCTTCTTGGACAGTTATGGCGCCTAGGCGCCGGTGAACTGTGATCCCCTACACAATGTGTATGTTATTAGTGTGTAATTACTTCAATTTCAATCTCAAAAGACGACACCAAAAAAATTATACTGCAGAGGTAGTGCAATGTTTAATTCTTAATTGAATATTATATATCAAATAATTCTCATTTTTTTTCCACAATTTAATTTTATACGCTAGGGATACTACGCAAGTGCACGTATTGTTTCAGGTAATATAGGACATTCTTTTTAAGTCCCAAGTATCGATCCAATGGGGGAGGTGAATACTCTTTTATGAACTTAGTAAAAATTTACTTAAACTTCAAACAATTAACTTAGAATTAAGGTCGCAAGTTTATGTGTAAAAAGAAGTAAAAATCCTATTTAAAAGCTTAAAAAAAACACTAAGTGTTTCTAAACTAGTTAAACAGAAAAGAGTTCAAAAATATGTAAATGTCTTTCCCCTTGCAATGAGAACATAATCAGTGTAGGAATCAAATGTTTAAAGGTTTAAATGAAGATTTGTGACAAATAGGAGTAATATAATTCTTCACCCTCTTTTGAGGGCATAAAGAACACTGACTAACCTAGAGTTAAGTTCCTAAATCTAAAGTTATGTTGGGTACGTTTTAACCTCTCACTTCTAGATTACCCACTTTTTCATCTCTTTAAGACTAACCAGTCCTTAAGTTCTGAACTCTAGATCAAATTGGTTAATGTTCTAGCCTGTCACCCTAGAATCACTAGTTTACACCCATAAAATCTTATCTCACTATCTATTTGCACTAACCAATACATTGTCTTATCACCCACCAGATTAATGTGTTTCTTACTAGTTGAGGAATACATAGTCCTCCTAGGTCATTATGGATTCACAACAAGTTTTAATACATCAATTGCCCAGATTGAATATGTAAATTAAGCACGAAGTAATGAATCATCACAAGTATGAAATAAGAAAAATATTAAACAATTATACTCCTACACAAAATTAATTCTTATTGTAAGAAGAAAGATAAAGAAAACTACTCAGATCTCATGGGAATAACAAAACAAAACATGATTTATATTAAATTTCAAGTTCACATAATAAATTAAACTCATACAAAAAAATAAAGTACTTATCTTAAACTTCTCTCCAAGCAAATCCTTTGAAGTTCATTTGATGATTTCTCAACTTTCCTTACAATTTCACTCCAAGACACACACACACACAAACACACACACACACACACACACACACACACCACACGACACACCCTCTTCCCTTCTTCTCCAAGACTCACCACCACAAGACTCTACAAAAGAACTCCCTTTTCTTATTCTCTTGACTCCTTATATGATAACTCACAAAATCCCCAAGAGTCACTTCAGATGCCCCTACAAAATTCATTCAGATTCAATGCATAGTCATTAAAACCTATTTTGGCTCCTAGGGGCACAACTGTGGCTCGATGGCGCCAACTTTCTAGAAGCCTAGTGTAACTGCCTGACGCCTAGGTACCAGTTCATTTTTTTGCTACCTTGCCCCAATTGACCCTGTTTTGCTCCGATTTCACTCTTTTTTCTCTAAAATTTCATCTCTTCTACCTGCAACTAAAAAGATGCAAAATACTTTCTATTAAAGTGCATCATTAAAAATGAGCATAAAATGTATATATAAAAATAGCACGTTTTTAGGCATGTCAATTCCCCCAAACTTAAACATTACTTGTCCTCAAGTAACTTAGTTATTTTATAAACCAAATGCTTTAACTTATGGTAGTGGGTTTCATTATAGATTCCTATAGTTTTGCCCCATAAATGTGATAGTGAAGCTTTAGAAAAATTTTTAATAATTCAAGTTAGAACTGGGGTACAAGAGTATTTAGTAATCAAGTTAGGAATTCTGATTTTCTATTCATTTCAAAAATAATTGGAATTTGTTAAACTTAGGAATCCTAGAAGAATTAAAGCTTAAAATTATATGAAAAATCTACTAGTAAAGATTTGATTAATACATTTGAAACTGATATTAAATTTAGAAATCTATTTAAGTTTCTTCCTTAAGATGATTCAAGTGAAGTCAATTTTTAATTAGGCACCCCCTCAAGTTTCTCCCCACTTTCTATTCTTTTCTATTTTCTTTGTTTTGATCTTTTTATTGTTTTTTATTTTCTTTTATGATGATTTTCAATCTTTTCTTTTTTTTAAAGTGAGGATTATTATATCTGGATTAGCCTACAATGATTTTAAACTTCACTATCCTCCTAAAGTAAAAAACTTCTCACTTTTTTTAACTTGATAATGTGTACTAGTGTAAAAATGATTTTTTTATAGAGTCTCAATTTATTTTAATGTGTAACTCTAAAATCCTTAGTGTTTCAAAAATACAATTTTTTTCTACTATGAACAGTAAAAGCATATTCCCATCCTTTTATACCAAATATCATAACTCCAAAACTACTCTTTTTCATTAAAAACTTTTACTTAAGTTTATTATAACATTCATAGAATAAAAAATATAGTTTTTTAAAGATAACACCACATACCGTAGATTTATGTTTAAAATAATTTTTAAATATATTCTATTGAGGACAAATAAAGTCTAATTTTTAAAAATTTTTCTCCTTTCCCCAAACTTAAATTTTTAAATAGTTCAAAACATTTTGGTGCAAAATAAGTATAAAGAGAGAAAAATTAAACAAAATTATTATTTTTCGCAAAGTTCTAAACATGAAGTTTGTGCAGATACAAGTAGTAAAAATAGGTATGTGTAGCAGTAGCAGATCTTAAATCAATAGGTATAGCATAAAAATTTCAAAGTAAAAGAACTACTCTAGCACATAGGCAATGCTATATATAATCTGGAGCAAAAAGTAAACAATAATGCAGTAACAACTAAAAAGTTCAGAATCCACATCAGCGGTAGCATAAATAAATTAATGTCCACTACATTCAAATAACTAAAAGTCAGCAACAACTAATGAAAGTAAACACATCTATACTCAAAATCATTACTCCTCCTCCTCCTCCTCCTCCTCATCATCATCATCGTTTTCTACTTTGTAACAGATATAAAATTAAGTTAAGTTCTAAACTAACTAAATCACAGTAATAAACACAAAACAACAGTTACCACCCTAAAATTTAAAAATAAAATATTAAATACCACAA